GGCAACACTCTCAAAACCAAAACAAATCTCCCTCCCCCAAGTCAGAAAAGCGCTGAACATTCGAGTCCAGGGGCAGCAACTCAGCACTCAAACAACTGGCAGGAGTGGCACGCGGTATCAAGCACAAAATCCTCAGTCAAAAATCACAGTGAATGAACTGCAGAAGAGTTTAGAGGAAAAATCAAGAACGAAAGCCAGGGCAAAGCTGAACAGGGAATACAAACGGCAGCAGGGGATGTGTGTGACCGCGCAATCTCGAGAATGACGTTCTGCAGCGGATACGAGTAAAGGAGTTACGCTATGGTAACAATCCATGAGCGGACCACTATGGAAGCAGAAAGAAGAGTCATATCTCTGAGAAGACCGAGCATGGTGCTCGAACCCATGAGCCCCACTGTGATCAGAGAATTCCAATATCCCATCCCCACCGAAGAAGAAAAGGTGGAACCCTATGACCAATGTTTTCCCTAATACTGAGGGTGAGATCATGTAGTGGAAGCCCAAAGTAATCCAACCTTGGGGAACCCCACAAAAAAAAGTAGGTGAAACCCTTGTCGAATTCCATTTGAGGGGTGGTGAAGGCAGGACCTCGGGATAAGGACCATGGAATGAATATCAATTCCTGACGGGGCAGAAAGTTGACCCCAAGCCCAGGCCCATACCAAACCTGACTCAGCACAAGACAAGAAAGAAATGAAAAAAGTCAAGCCAAGTTACCCGTGAGGACATACGACAGTTCGCCGAGTCGAGCAAACGAGGGAAGAAGGCCCACTTGGCATTCACGACCATAGAAAGACATAATGTCTTACCCTATGAAAGGGCCGATTACAAAGAAACGCCAAAGCGCGAAAAAAAAGAAGGCGGAATCGGCCACACGGGCACATCCTAATATCAATTACACGAGACGGCGAGAAGAAATGGGCATATTGCACTATAGTCGGGGGAAATACAGAAAGGAATCATGAACTAACAGTAACCCAAACCAAAAAAAAAATATGGTGGCCCATGCAGGTTCGAGTCTGGGAGGCTCGCAAAACAGGTCCAAATCTGTGAAGCTCATCTTGGATAAAAAACCTTCAGTTAGAGTGACGATCTGGGAAGCGAGACATAGCAGGGAGACTGAAGTAGAGGGAATGAAGAAGGATAGTACGAGAATGTAGAACCACTTCTCGCCAAAGAAATGTTAACAGCATACATGGCCTAGTGGAACCCTCTTGAAGCAAAGGAGGCAAAGGGCACAGTCAGGTGAAGGCCAGATCCCGGAGTAAAGCCATTGGGAAAAGAGAATCATCTGGGACAGAGAGTCGGATAGAATACTCGAAGAGACCCGGTCAAGCAAGATCCGATGTCTATGCCATTTCACGGGAGACATGGGACTGGCAAACCTCGAACAAAGGAGAAGGAGTAGAAAGAGGGGAGCAAGTCAATGGTCCCGAGCTAGGAATCCAACCGCGAGGCGAGAGGCAGGCAAGAGAGCTCCGGTTAACCATGTCCAGATGGAGCAGAAAGCGGGACGAACGAACAAAGGCAGGAAGGTGAAAAAGGTCGTCAGGAAAGCCGACAGGGACGTGGTGGGGACCTGCAAAATAAGAATCGATCACGATAAGCACGGGAAAAAATACTAAATCCCGGACGATAAGAGGGGAAGAAGAATTATTGTCGTAGGTCATGGAGTACAGGTGGAGCTCTGGACATGACACGAAGAAGAAATAATTGTCGTCCTCCGAGGAATCTAGCCATTCAAGGGAATCGATTGGAGTACATTCATTGCAGTAAAGGATGCTATCGAGACGGTAGGACCCAGGGAAAGACTGTGTCGCGCGAAAAATGGATGCCACCACGGCACCAGTAACTGTATTACCGGATAACTCAGATAGGACTTGGAAGGAGTTAAGAAGGCCCTAAGCCTTCAAAGAAAAGTAATGAAGAAGAACGCCGAACTCGGCGCACATCTGAAGCATGACTCGGGAGATGCGACAGTTGAACCCGGCTAAAAAGCACAAAGAACAGAAACATAGCCGGAAGGAGGAAAATCGATGGAGTCAAAGACCGAGGGGCGAAAGAAGATGACAGAAGAAATCTAAAGTGAAAAAGAGTAAAGCGAGCAAAAAAGAATGACAAAAACTCCATCATATATAGCTAAAAGAAGAAAAGCGGGAATGACGTCTCTTAGACGAAGAGGACGAAACGTCTAAAACACAGAGGAAGGAGGATGACCAATCGGACAGAAGAAAAGTTGATTAAATGATATGACCACTAAGGGACAGAGCTAGAACGGCAACATATTTCGACACGCGTGTGGGCGCAACGACAAGGAATCGGGGGCAAAAAAGGAATTTGAAGAAAAGACACACCCCACGATTCAGACCCATGGAAGGGAGAAGAGAAGAAGGATTTTTCATCGAAGGAGGACTCGTAGAAGAATTTGAGCCCCGAAAGAAGAGGACGCTGCCAGTAAGACAAAATAAAGAAGGCAAAGCCGAGATAGGAGGGGAGAACCAAGTATCGAGAAGGAGACGTCAAAACATCCCTGCAAATAAGAAAGACGATGAAGGAGAAAACATAAAAAGAATAGGAATAAAGAAGAAATTCTCTATCGTGGTCGTCTCGCCATGTCTCCCCGACTCTCCTGAAGAAACTTGTTCTTGTCACTCGGGGTGTACCCCTACGGAGACAGCGCAGTGGAGAGTTAGCCTGTCCGTTGATGTCGTGTTCCTGGATTGGCACCCTTTAAACAGACCATCCGAGGGCATGTTGCTCTGCGGACAGTAAGACTTTCCACTGGAAACTTCGTCGGATGCAAGAATTGCATCCTACAGCATAAGACTGGTTCCTTTTGCGGATTGGCCTGCCAGTTTTGGCGAGTTTTGTGGTGGACGGCTCTCCCTTAAAGAACCGGATATCTCTAAAGAATCAGCCAAAAAATGAAGCCGGACTGGCAGGACGGCACCCCCTCTGGGACATGACTGACGGTCAGGCATTGTGCCCTTCATGTAACGAGCCCACGACTCTATGTCACTTAGCCCACGACGGATGACTCAGACATCGCGTCCTTCGTGATCCACGGTCCCATGTCATTTCACCCACGATGTTTGAATCAGACAACGTGTCCTTCATTTTGTGTTTACGGCCCCAGGTCATGTTGCCCAGGATTACTCAGGCATTATGTCCTCCATCGAAAAGGTGTCATGCGTCTTAGATCAAAAGGGTGACTCAGACAACGCGTCCTTCATCGAAAAAGCGTTACGCGCTTCAGACAAGTGTCCACTCAGGTACGGTTAATGAGGAGGGAAAGCGTTTGTCTCCGAAAAGGATAACTTCCACATCACGGGTTAGCAAAAGCTAACCCGTGAAATGGGAGGCAAATTTTTGAGGATAAATTCGATCTTTCTTACGTGGACGAATCACGTGCTAGCACGTGGCGTCCATGGCTTTTTTGCAGGTATAGCCCTCCTGGGCCAAACTATTATCTGGCCCAATACGGCCTAAACTTATAGCATCAGGCCTCAAATCTAGTTGGATTCAGGAGATCCCGCACGATAGAGCACCTGTTCCCGGGTTCCTCATGTCTGACAGCGCAGACCACGCTGTTAGGAACAAGAAAGTCAGAAACTGAGGGTCAGGAGGAAGAGATGTCACATTCTCTATGTCCTAGACCTAAGCTCGGTGATCCAGAAGGGTCAGGACATAAGGAAGAGTGACTCGTACAGTACCCAGAGCGTCAGACCTTCCAGTTGCCACAGCCTGGTGCCAGTATCGAGGTATCTGGGCCAGGTATGAGCTAATCATTCAAGCGGGAAAACTATTCGAATTTCCTTCTTTTCGACAATAGGAATATACTTTAGTCTGATTCGATTGCCCTTAGAAGTCCATGAGAATGGTAGTTAATGCGTTTTCCTTATGTGTATCAGGTGATAGGGACATCTCGCGGGAGTTAGGGGAAAAAACAGAGGTTTAGAAAAGAACCATACCACGTCTAAGCCGCCGACCCAAGCCATAAACTGAGAGCGAAAGGGATGTACCAAGGGGCGGTCTCGTCACAGGCAGAACACACCAAAAATGGTTGATGGGACCGTCAGAGGTGTGACGTCATCATATAGTCAAGTCGGGTCATGGTTCAATCCATCCGATCCACAATCCATGGGCCAACCCAGTATACTAGCCCAGATCAAGTACTTTTTATAAATATATTTTTCTTTCCAACGGGAAAGGAAGTTCACTTTTTAGCCATTTTAAGTCTCACGATATCTCTCTAAATACTTGTGAAGTTTGAGTGTAGGCATTTTACACAGTTCTGACAATCTTTCCGCTCATCTCACTTCACTTCTCCTCCACGGTGGATCTTAAACTGTGGAGCTTTGTAACACTCAAACTTTTCTTTTCTCTCTTTCCACCGCAAAAAGCTCATTCTTACACTCAGGCATGAGTAGATCCTACCTTCCTCAAAGACTTTTGGCTCATTTTCCTTCTTACAGTTTTTGGACTTCTTTCCGCTTTCCGAACAGCTATTTTGTGGTCTTTTGAGTTGTTTTCTAACTTGAATGTTAGAGTGCCATCGAAAAACATACTTTCATTGTGTTTTTCGAACCCCTGACATCTTTTATGTTTTGCAGAAGACTTGTTTCCTCGAGGAGGACTGAAAATCTTCTAAACACCTTATTTAACTAAAAAATGTAAATCCAATTTTAAGATTAATAAAAAAAAATCTCAATCTCATTATTAGATATTCTTTAATAAAATAAACATAAAATATTAATAGAGCTCAAAAACCCTAATTTTAATTAATAAATCAGCGAAATAAAAATTTCCAATTCATTAAGATTATCTACTAAATTAATCTCAAAAAATAAATGTATTAAGAGTAAAACCCATAATCTTTCACGTGCATGCACGCTCCTAGCTATATAACAAAAACACCACTTGCCTTGCTGACGTGTGAATCGAGAGGCTTCGATATAAATACGTAATTAACCTCTCTGCCCTGTCCTTCTACTATCCTCAGATCAGACAGAGAAAGAGATAGAGAGACAGACAGGGAGCGATTAAGAGAGAGAGAGAGAGAGAGAGAGAGAGAGAGAGATGGAGAACGGTAAATGCAACGGAGGTGCGACGGCGAAGTTACCGGAGATCAAGTTCACCAAGCTTTTCATCAACGGCCAGTTCGTCGATGCTGCCTCAGGTTCTTTTTTTTTTTTATCTTATTCAGATAATTAACTCCATAAAGGCATAAATAACTTGATTTCACAACTTCAAACGTTGACCTAGATAGAAGAAAAGGAGATTAATTCATTCATATTTAGTGTTTTTTGGCTTCGATTGTTTCAAATAATTATTACCTCAAATCCTTTTTCTATTCTACACATTCGATTCTTTTAATGATGCTTCGATGGATGAGTGTTTTTAAAGAAAAAAGAAAGTAGACCCTTCTTAAACAAAAAGTTAGATTAATCTTGTCACTTAAAACTTATACAGTAGCAAATATGGAGGACCATAATCAAGATTTGTTTTTTTTTCCAATAAACTATATTAAAAAGAGCTATCATCCTGAGTAGAAACATGTCCTACTATTAAACACAAGTGTTTGTCATTGGTCCACTCTGACACTTTCCTTTCTCAACCACAAAAAAATTATAAACTTCTTCTCTAGTTTTTTCTTTTTTATTTTCTTCTCTTTCTAGAAGTCGTAATGACATTGATAATGTTTTGTCCTTATCAATGAAAAAAGGAAGTAGAAAAAACTTGTGATTTGAAGAGTAAACCACCGGGTGGGTTGGTTTGATTTGGCATATATTGATAATTTTTAATGTTTTTTTTTGGTTTTGATGTGCTTTAAAGGTAAAACGTTTGAGACGATAGACCCAAGGAACGGTGAAGCGATCGCTCAAATAGCAGAAGGAGACAAAGAAGACGTTGACTTGGCCGTTAACGCTGCACGTCAAGCCTTCGATCATGGCCCTTGGCCTCGCATGTCTGGCTTCGTATGTTCCTTTTCTTTTCCTCATGTTTTTTTTTATTGCTCGTAGCCTCCTACCCACGTTAATTTTATCAACAATCTAATGATCTATTTTTATAATCATCAAAATCAAATTATTGATACTAGCTGAATACCTGCACATACCGTGCAGATTTTTCTTTTTAACTATTCAAATCTTATATAAAATTAAATATAATCATTATTTGTTGTGGGTGTTAGTATGCTTTTATAAACAATCCTAGAAATTTAATATAAAAAATAATTTAAGAAATCAAACTAAAATGCAATATCATGAAGATAAAAGAAAATATAATCATTATTTGTTTTGTGTGTTAATATATTATTATAAATAATTTTAGAAATTTTATAAAAAAAAACAATTTTAGAAATCAATTTAAAATGTAATATAGTTAAAGAATTCATAATTATATAAAAATATAATAAATATCAATCAATATTAATTAATTAATAAAAACTGTTCATTTTATTTTATTGGTTTAAAACTTGATATTAAAATTTATTAATTTTTTAATTTTTAGAAAAATTATAATTATAATTTTAAATTAGAAAGTGACACATGTCATCTCCATATTAATTAAAAATGATGATGTGTCACTCATATGGAGAGAGTTGGTCATCTTTTATATATAAGACTAGGAGAGAACCCGCGCGTATGCGCAGATATTATTTTAATTTATATATTTTAAATATTTTCTATTGAATTTTATATTTGCTATTAATATATTTTTTTCTAAAATATTTATATTTTCTTCGATTTCTTCTTGAAGATACATTATATGTAATCTTTTTTACATCAATTGTATTAAATAGTCTCATTTTTTCTTCGATCTTTATATACTTTTCATTCTAATAAATCTTACTAATATAATACTTGTTAATTTCTTAATTTATCATTTGATTTTTTTTTGTTATATATATTTTATTGATTCCATCTTTTTTATTATTTAAAAAAAAACCATAGATGATATTTTTATGTGGATACTTTTCTTTTTACTATTATTTTTAATAACTTTTATCTTTTTAATCATTTATTAAATATGATTTGTGTTTTATAATTTTATTAGTTGAATTTTTATATAATATTATTTGAAACTTTTTAACTTATTTAGTCTCATAATTTTTTTTCACTTGCATTAAAAATTAATTAATTTTTTAGTTTATAAATAAATTTTAAAATATTTTTAAAAAATAGAGTTGTGCATTTACAAAATCTTGTACTATATAATATTTATAAGTTTTTATATATTTAAATTAAATTTGAATTTCATTCTAATATAAATATATATATTAATATTTATTAATGTGCTTTAATGTGTTTTAATATAATTTAAAATGTTTTAATGTGTTTTAATTTGTTTGCTTTAAATATAATTAATTATTTGTTTTATTAATGTTTAAAGATTACAGGTGGCGCTCTCTCCAACGCTGATGTGTCACTCAACGGGAGAGAGTTGGCCAAGTTTTATATATAAGATTCTGCTGTTGATTTGATGTGGTCCAGTCTGCAGAGTCTCATTAAATATTTATTTATTAGGCTGTTATAAACTCGTTACTAATTTGCTGTCTATTTATCTATTGTTTTGATTATTGTATCATTAAATTAGATATGGAACGAGAGAGAGTTGACTTCTTTTGCGGTTGGTGTCACTTTCATGTAGTAACGTTTTACCCATATTCTAGTAGTTTAGTTAACTTTGATTTATATTAAACTGATTTTTGATAAGGTTGTTTGTAAAGTTGTATGGTTCCATTTCAGATTGGACTATTCTTCTCTCCTTGTTTTTATAGAAGTGATTATTTTTTTTTTTTGCTCCTTTTTAATTTGGTATTATTTGTATTACTTACAATAGTCATCTCACTAGCAATTTTGGTGGATTTAGGAAAGGGCAAAGATTATCAACAAATTCACTGACTTAATAGAGCAAAACATCGAAGAACTGGCTGCACTTGATGCCGTCGACGGCGGAAAACTGTTCCAATTGGGGAAATTAAATGACATTCCGGCCGCAGCCGGACATTTCCGGTATTATGCGGGGGCAGCGGATAAAATCCACGGCGAGACTCTTAGAATGACTCGTCGGTCTATGTTCGGATACACTCTTAAAGAGCCTATTGGAGTAGTCGGTCACATCATCCCTTGGAACTTCCCAAGCATTATGTTTGCCATGAAAGTGGCTCCAGCTTTGGCTGCTGGTTGCACCATGGTGGTCAAGCCAGCTGAGCAGACTCCACTATCTGCTCTCTTTTATGCTCATCTCTCTAAAGAAGTAAGTCCGTTGCTTTCACTTTATTTGATTTCTTTCTCCAATTCCTAAATATCAAAGTTTGTTTAAAAAGAATCACGTTTTCTAAACAAATATAGTGTTTCATAAAATAATGTTTTAAAGTATGCCATTTTAGAGAATTACCCTTATTATATAAAGTATAAATGCAATAGCTCTGTTTTCTATGTTTGTATGGTGTGTTTACGTATACGTTTACAATCAATACTAATTTTTGTCTATAAGACAATTAAGATTACGGATTCATTTAGGGAAAAAAATAACGTGTAATTTATGTGAACACACGTAAATAAACAAATTGACAATACATACGTAAAGTTAACACTAGAAAGTTGTGGTCTCATTTATAGCTAAAGATAGAATTAGCAAACGTATACGCAAACAAAAAAACTAGAAACCTAACAATCTTACACATTTTTTTTTCGTGTGGAAACAAAACAGGCAGGGATCCCTGATGGTGTGATCAACGTGGTGACTGGTTTTGGATCAACTGCTGGAGCAGCCATTGCCTCCCATATGGACATAGACAAAGTAAATAATCGACTATTGTCTTATGAGTTATTTTTAAGGATCAAACAATTTAATATGTTTTAGTTATGATATGAATCTTCATGTGTCTTTGTGATCAGGTTAGTTTCACGGGATCAACAGATGTTGGGAGGAAGATAATGCAAGCCGCAGCCGCGAGTAATCTCAAGAAAGTTTCCCTCGAATTGGGCGGAAAATCGCCTCTTCTCATATTCGATGATGCTGATGTGAACAAAGCTGCTGATCTTGCGCTCATCGGTTGCTTCTACAACAAGGTATATATATTATAGTGCCCGATACCGATCAATGTTTGCTTTTAACAATACTGATAGATATAAGTAAACATGTTTGGTTGATGTGCAGGGTGAGATTTGTGTGGCGAGCTCTCGTGTGTTTGTGCAAGAAGGTATATACGATAAGGTTGTGACCAAGTTAGTGGAGAAAGCTAAAGATTGGACCGTTGGTGACCCTTTTGATTCCACTTCTCGACAAGGACCTCAAGTAAAAGAGACTAATCATTAATTTATTCGTTCATTAATCTTGATTTATGTATATAAGATTGATTACATGTTGTTTGATTATTTTGGGTATTTGTTCAGGTGGATAGGAAACAATATGAGAAGATTCTTTCTTATATTGAGCATGGCAAAAAAGAAGGAGCAACCTTGTTAACCGGAGGGAAAGCCATTGGAGACAAAGGATATTATATCGAACCAACAATTTTCGCAGATGTCACGGTACTCACACATTTCTTGATTCTTTGATTACCAAGAGATTATGCGCTATGAAAATTAATCATTTATCCAACATTAATATCAAGAAAATAATGAAGATAAAAAAAAAAGAACCTAAAAGATCTGACCATATCTCTAACTTTAGGAAATTACTATTTGTGAATGTAATACTTTCATTTAGTTTAGGAAACTTCCCAATAATCAAGACTCGAACTCGTGACGTTAAGATCGTTAGGTTTTAAATAAAGGGTTTTAATTTTTGTTGATTACAGGACGAGATGAAGATATACAAAGAGGAAATCTTTGGACCAGTCATGTCTTTGATGAAATTCAAGTAAAAGAACCAAAAAGACCATTTCTCTTCTCTATCTTTTCTAACTTCCACAACACTAAAGTTCTTTGAATGTTTTTGCAGGACGGTAGAGGAAGGAATCAAATGCGCAAACAACACAAAATACGGTTTAGCAGCAGGAATAGTGAGCCAAAACATAGACTTGATCAACACGGTTTCGAGATCAATCAAAGCAGGAGTCATTTGGGTTAATTGTTACTTCGCATTTGACCTCGACTCTCCTTACGGTGGCTACAAAATGAGTGGTAATTGCCGTGAGAGTGGCATGGACGCTCTCGACAGTTATCTTCAAGTCAAATCCATCGCTATGCCTCTTCACAATTCCCCTTGGATGTAAAAAATTTCTATACAAATACAAATTTAAATCAACAATAAAAATAAGGCTTTGTAGTTTTTTTTGTGAAAGAACGCTTTGTAGTTTGTTACTCGTTTTTCGTTTTGTGAGACCACAAGAGTTTTTGTAATTTTTCACAATCGTATGTGTAATACGAAAAGTAATACGACGTCGATAAATTGTTTTTTCAGTTTTGCCATTTGGTTATTTGAGAGAGAATATTATCGAAAAATCCTCAATTTTTTCTCAGTAAACATTCTTTATAAACAAAACATTTAATTAGTGAACTAATTCTTCTTAATTAAGCCATTTTAGTTCAAAAAAAAGCGAACTTTTTTTTTTGGTTCATAAAGAATTGAATATTTCTCGATTAAAATATAAAATTGTCAATCTTTTTTAATAAACATTTACGAAATTATATGATTTTTTTTTCTACAATCGCTGATAAGAGAGACTAGGGAGAATACCGGAACATATACACGACGCCGTTTTGTTTATTTTACAGTTTTGCCCCTGAGTTTAACTCCTAGAACCTTCTCCATCTTCGCGAGCACGGCTTGGTTAGGGACGGCTTTTCCGTTTTCGTATTCCTGAACCACCTGCGTGCGCTCGTTGATCTGTTTCGCTAGATCCGCCTGTGAGATCTTCTTCTCCAATCGAGCTTTCTGAATCGCCAGCCTTACTTCCGCCTTCACGCGATCCATCGCGGAAGGCTCTGTTTCCTCGTCGAGCTTCCTCGTGTTTATCACCGGCGCAGCCGTAGATTTCCCTTTTTTGTTCGTTCCGGCGTCGGATTTTTTCACCGTCTGAACCGCGACGCCGCTTCTAAGCGCCGCGTTAACCGCCTTAGGATCGCGCAGGTCTTGGCTCTTTTGTTTCGATTTGTGTAGCACCACTGGCTCCCAGTCTTGCGTCACTGCTCCTGGGTATCTGCTCGGCATCGTCGCTCGCTGATTCTAGAGAGAGAGGAATACAACGGAGAATTTGAAATTTGAGCGATGAATTTTCTGAAAATTGAAGAACAATGAGATTCGTTGAGAGAGGATTTTGAATATATAGACGAAAGATGGGTTTCTGGAGAATTCGATCATCATTTTTAGAGGACGCCATTAACGTCTCTGGAAAGTTCTTAAAGCTGTAATGACGTGTCCTCTTCTTATTCGGTGTCATTATAGTGACGTGGCGTTAAACGAAATTGACTCGTTGTCTCGATATATCCAACGGTACACAGTAATAGAAAACAATCGGACGGTCATCAAGGTCTTAAAGAGTGACAGTCGACAAAATTTTCGGCAAGGACACTTTTGGCGCTAATCTTTTCCCTCCTATCGATTTCTCGGAGATCAAAACATTCTCTCTCTGCCTCTCTTTCTCTCTAATTGTGAGCGGTTTTTGCTA